AACTCTGGCTTCTGCTGTGTGGTTTCTGCTGTGTTTACCTCTATTCACGACGTTTTGTAACCGGGACCTACTGCAAGCAGAACGCTTTTCTGTCGGGTCATCCATGTGCTCCAGGATGTCACCTCGACAGACTTGCGGCCTGACTCGGGCAAGCTTACTCAAGAGTCAAGGAATAACGGGGCGGTGGACCGTGGCGGCTTCGCTGGTCGTCAACACGCGTCCGCGGACCACACGAGCCGACGTGATCTTGTATGATCAGTGTGAGAAACGAATGATTGCGAGACAACCGGCGGAAATGGCGAATTCAGTTCCTTCACGTGCTCCGGGGATGTGACCTCGAAAAGGCTTTACAAACCGGCGGTCTGGCTCGGGCAAATTATTCCAAGGGTGAAATCGGCGAGAAGAGATTCAGCGAGCGTCGCTCCTGCCGTACCAAGCAGTATAAATGGCATCTATCCTTGCTGCTGCCCCGAGAACTTCGTACAATGTCCATCATCACCCTATATGATGTTGCCTCCACCCATCCAGGACAGGCCTGGTCACCGAGCACCGCAAAAGCAAGGCAAGATAATAGATATCCTAACCATCAGACCGCATTTCATTAATCATTTCTTCAGATATGCTTTGAATGTCAAGCGTATCCCCCACAAAACGGTGTTCATTGAATACGTCGAGATCGAGGCCTTGTGCAAGAAGATTGGGGCAAAACCTACGAGTCAGACGGCCCCTCAGTATACGCTTCCCGTCATCTACGACCCTTCGACAGGTCCGCTGGTCTTGTCACGGAATATTTCCTCGAATTAACCTACCTTGTGGCGTCTAGCTACTGCCGTTTCGGACTCGATGGACATAGTCCGATACCTAGATGCTACCTATCCCGATACGCCGCGCTTGATACCGGAGGGTACGACTGCGTTCCACTACGCATTCACAGCCGCCTTCGAAGCATCACTTGGGCCCTTCGTCGTCTACGCCATACCGGCCAGCCTGCCGTTCCTAAACTCGGCCAGCCAGGACTACTTCCGGCAGACTAGGGAACAGCTGTTTGGCGGCTGCCGCTTGGAGGACGTCCCGCCCACTGGAGACGCGCACACCGCCACGTGGAAAAAGGCTGAAGATGCCTTGGGTCAGATCGATGGCTGGATCCTCAAAAACGGCGCCGACAGCAAGTATTTCATGGGCGATGTCCTTTGTTATGCGGATATTACCCTCGCGGGCTTCCTCCGTTGGTTCAAAATGGTGCTTGGGAAGGATAAGTGGGAGGAGATTTTGACTTGGCACGGTGGACGATGGGCCAACTTGATGAAGGAGATGGAAAAATACGATTAATATTATCTTGTGAATTACAAAACCTGTAGATCGTGATTCTGAACGCTGTGTTGTTTTCGATCTCTTGGTTAGCCTCGACATCGGTGCACGGAAAGCGATTTTTGATAAAAATAATTTCAGATTGATTTCAAATCGTTTCGCACCTTCGTAACCTCCACCAAACCTCAATGGCTCCCCAGTATACGCACGGCCACCATGAATCTGTCGTGCGCTCGCACTCCTGGCGCACCGCACAGAATTCTTGCGCCTATCTTCTGAGCTCGCTTACTCCGAATATGCACATCCTCGACGTCGGTTGCGGGCCGGGTACTATCACGGCGGATCTCGCAAAACACGTCCCGGAGGGACACATCACTGGTATTGAGCGGGTTTCCGGTGGAGGCGTCCTCCAAACCGCCAGAGACCAGGCTGCAGCGCAGGGCATCACCAACATAACTTATGCCATCGACGATGTCTTGTGTCTCTCCTTCCCAGATAATTCATTTGACGTCGTACACGCACACCAAGTCCTTCAGCACGTCCCCGACCCGATTTTGGCCCTGAAGGAGATGTATCGCGTCACAAAGCCAGGGGGGATCGTCGCTGTGCGTGATGTCGACTTCTCCACAGTGGCCTGGCATCCAGAAATCGAGGGGATAGCTCTATGGTACTCGCAAAACTTTCTGCGCAGATTGTTGTTCAACTGTGTATACAAGGCGCAACACGTATATGCAGGTCGCGCGCGCTAACGGTGGCGACCCCGATTCGGGACGACGACTTCTGTCGAAAGCGCTGAAAGCAGGGATACCGAGGAACCAAATCACTGCATCGGCGAGTACCTGGTGCTACAGCACTGCGGAGGAAGTTGCCTGGTGGAGCTCGACGTGGGCGGAGCGTGTCCTCTTGTCTACGCTTGCCTCCAGTGCCTTGGAGCATGAGATTGCGACGCAGGAGACTCTGGACGAGATGTCTCAGGCCTGGAAGACCTGGGGTGCGCAACCGGATGCCTGGTTTGCTTTTTTGCACGGTGAAATCCTTTGCCGCAAAGTCTAAGTGATTTTCTGGTGCTAGAAAGGGATGATGCTTCGAATATGTAAAGAATACGACTTAGCTTTTACCCTCATCATGCACGCTCCAGTCTCGGCTCGAGTACGAACTGGTTGCGATTATCATTGCATCCTCGTTAATAGTGAGTCTAGAAGCAAGAAGCCCGCATAGCTGCTCTCGAAGCCGAGGTCGTCAGTCTCCAAAAAGAACTAGGGTGAGAGCGTTTTTCTGCACCGGTACACATTATCACTGCAACTCAGTTTTTCAGAGAGCATGAGAACGCGGAGGCGATTGTTAAGAAGCATATAAGACTTCTCCATAGTTATAATGAGGCCAAGGACGCGACTCAAGTGAGCGACGCCGTTCGGCATCCTCGCTGAGTTCTTTTGCTTACCTTCCTGATAGATTCTTATTGGCAAAGTAAGTCCGTGTCGTCCGACTCTGCCCTGTGCTCACAAATGTGGACCAGCTTGCGACGCTGAAGGAGACAACTGTCCGGCAGATACACGATGATATGGACTTGCGCGACAGCGACTGATAGATTGGACTTGGGATTTCGCTGCTGTATTTTCGAGTTCGCCGCTGTGTTTCGAGATGCTCATTCAACTGCTTTTGCCATTTCCTTTTTACTGAACGACGATCCAACTCCTTCCTGAACCAAAATCCAAGGATGCCCACTGAGCTTACTCGCACCCACACACCCGCTCCACCATTCGACACTCGCCTCAGCGGTTCGTCAATACGGCTGCAGTGCAACTCTTCTGCTCGCGTATCGCTCCCAAGAGCGCGGTTCGTCCACCCTTCGCTCTCTCTCTCGACTCCATACTTGGTACCAACCTCTTTCATGTCCATCTCGGTCGCTTTTTCATTTCTTAGCGTATCTTTTTCAAGCTCTTCAATCCTCGCGCCCGTTTACAAGCGCCTACTCTGTTTTTCTCCTGCTTGCCTCGATTTTTTTTGTGCCTACCCTTGCCCATCTTTTCGTCTTTGTGCCTCCGGAGTCCGCTGACTCGTTTTTTTACACCGCCGCACCTTCTTCAAGACTCGGCATCGTCGACAGGCCTATATCTCCTAGCGACTACTGGTGCTACATACCCGCCGCCGCCGTGCTCTGTTCCGCCTGCGGGCTATTCGCCCTCGCCGTGATAGCGCCCAGCACGCAAGCGTCAGCGCTCCAAGTTCTCGGTCCATCTATTCGTTGTTCATGGTGCGTCTCCAGCAGTCCTCAAATTTGGATAGAGACTAGAATTTCAGGACATTCTTTCAAGGTCTTTGGATCAGCGTTGGCAATCAGCGGTAGAGGGAATGGTTTGTGCAGCGGTCTTGAACTCACGAGAACTTCGAGTACACTGCTTGCGCACAGAACACGATTCACAACATAATGCGCTGTTCCAAGATCGCTGCAAACTTATCGAAATCCACCGCGCCGCCCAGCGTTTTTTCATCGAAATCAGGCGAGGGCCTTCCCGTTTCCTCGGCTTCTGCAACGGCATAGTTATGCAAGCGACGACTCTTCATCCCTGCCGCGAACAATTCCGTAAAATTCTGGATCCATAAACGGAACGCCTCGAAACCATGCCGAAAGCCTTTTTGAGCTATAGCTGCAATCTTCGCCTGCTTTAGTTGATCCATCCCTAGGTCTTGCCATTCCGCAAGATCGGACTCTTTAATTTTGCAGGTGAGGAAGACGAGGACGTATAAAAACGACTCGAGATCGTGTCGATAGAAGTGGGTAGGCGGGGAATCAACAAGCAGGTCAGTCGCCATATATGGCTTTGTCCCTGTCCGTTGCTTCGAGGTAAAGAGCTTGGTATCACCCAAACGCAGGGCTAGATCAAAGTCATTTAAAACGCCATACACTTCCCCTCCGATCTCGCGGTACATGAGGTTTGTGATGCTTATATCCCGATGGATAATCTTGGCCTCTTCATGTAGCCAACGGTAGCCTACACAGTCATAAACTTATGCGTGACGAAGGTGTAAAAACTAACACAATTGAAAATCTGCCTGAATATTTTTGCCAGTTTATTGGGGTCGTAGAGCTCCGTTATGGGTCTGAGCTCCGCCAGGACGATCAACCGAAAGACTTGCTCTTCATATATACCCAAAGGAGGGTGCCTAAGAAGGTCTCTTTGGCAGGCAGGGGTGAGCTCCTCGAACGACTGCTCGTGGAATATTTCCGGAAGATGACGGAGTACGTGCTCGTTTCCCTGTGCACGATGCCGTGCGCTCTTCACGATCTCCGCTTCGTTGGCTCGGGTTGTTGGGATCCACCCAGACTTGACGACCACAGTCTTACCCATGAGGTTCTCGCGCGAAGGGGACACTCCGTCACCGTCGCCCGGATTACAACGGTGTCACGACCGATAATACCGTGCGCCGGAATATGATATGCCTAGAGTAAGTAGCCAGCCGTCGTTGAGTTGGAGGATGTCGCCTTTGTACATGCCGTTCCAAAAATCTTTGTCCAATGGCCCGGCAGACAACTTGGGATGGAGGAAGTTTAAGAGAGCCGACGGCCTAATTTTCGTAAACTGGCAGAACGTTGGTTCTTCGCAACACCGGGAGTTCGATGTGGTTGGTGAAGACAAATGCGTACATTGTTAAGTAAAGATCAAATTGGATGTGTGCAGAGGCACAAAAAATGCTCCCCGTGAGGATCGAACTCACGACCTCCAGATTAAAGGATCCAAGATCCCTCACAATATGAGACTGGCGCTCTAACCAACTGAGCCAGGGAAGCAAGATGCAAAGATGGTAAAACTTGCAGCTGAGACAGGATGGGATGCTCGACGTCCGGGTTCCTGTCATTCAAAAGATGATGTTGTCTACAATGTGTAAGTATTCACCTGGAGTAACTCAGGGCGGCACTTCCCTTACGCGCTGGTCTCGTCCGTATCGGAATAAGAGGTATTGAGCGAATATTTTCGGATAGGTCCGACTGCCTTGGAGCCGAGCAGGACCCAAAGACCAAGGAGAGCAGCTTCAAGTTGCGAGAGGCTGTGAACACTGTACAGACAGAAACCACCTCACTTTTGTTGAGCACGAACCCTGTGGACCCGACTGCGGCGTATGCGCCAGCGTACCTCACCACACCCATGACATGGAATCTGAACAGAATTGATAGTGTAAGCGATAGCGAGATAGCTAGTGAATATTACATAGATGAGCAAGATATTAATTAGTATACTAGATTAATTGAGCTTGCAACCAAGAACCCTCACTGGCGGAAATCAGAATCTAGATAATAAGGGATGGAGAAAAAACTCACCGGTACCATCCGGTTCTCCTATTCCATACAACATTTCGAGTGGGTGGAATGCCAGCGAATTCGACCGAGGGACGAATGAAGACAGGCCTCGAGACAATGGGGCTGTCAGTCCCGTTGATATACCAAAGCTAGAAACCGTTCGGTTTTCCTTCAAAGACTGTATCATCACGCGCTGCGACTTCCAGGCTCGGGAAGAGATTGTAGAAGTCCTATGTTACCGATGAGAGAATGGCAAGATAGTTTCGTCAAGACGTACACTGCAAACACACCAGTTGTGGGGTGACAGTCGAAAGAAGAAAGACCCTCGGGAAGGAGGTCCCAAGTCACCACAGAATTATCGGGGCCACGTAAATCCCACAACTTGACCTTGCCATCCAGACTGGTGAAACGAGTGAGATCACAATCTTGAGCTCAGACACTTTACCCACCTAGCCGAAAGAAACTGGGACCTCGCTGCTGGATGCCACCGGACATTTTGAACCCACGACTCGTGTTCAACGAATTTTCTGACGACAGAGTTTTCCTCTTCCATCCGTCGATCAAAAAGTTTGACCTCCCCGTTGGCGAAACTGGCCGCGAATATTTGCGAAGGCTCCATGTCACAGACTATGGCGGTGACAGGGCTATCGGAGTTAGTATCCAAATCCTGGAACGCGGGTGAGAATCAAAGAAGCATGGCAATTCGGTCCGCTTACCAGTGTAGGAGTCTCGGTTTGAGCATCCCACACCTTGATAGTTCGCGAATCTCCGCCAACCAAAAGTAGCCCGGTGTTCTGCATCCAGTCCATCACGAGGCCAGCACCTTGGCGGATATTGACCACCAGTTCCGTAAGCCCCCGGAACGCACTGACCATCTGGACAGGTCCTTGGTCTACCGCAGGATCGTAGTTCCGATAGAGGCGAACGATTCCGTCGGCTAATGAGAGGTAAGTGGACGTTCCTTTCCAGCGGCTGCAACTTACATGATCCAGTCAGAATCATACCCCCCACATCTTGGTTGATGACTTGCAGAGAGGTCACGCTCGTGCCTATCGGGTTACCGTTGTGGAACGAGGTCAATCGTCGGCGTTGCGACCAATCCCAAACGCTAAGAATACAATGATCAGAATCGAATACAATTGAGCCACGAACCACGAACCTGACCACATCCGATTCATTCGCAATGAACAGATGTTTGTCATAGGAGTGGAATACCATGTTCTGAGGATGTCCTGAAACCTGCAGCGTCGCTACCGGTCTGTCCCATGGACACGATTCTAATGCAACGTTAAATCGAACCGGTCACATATTCCGCACCTACCCGCGATCTGGCTCTGCCGCTGCGTCTCATCGATAACAGTCTCGTTGCGCTGCTGCCGCCACAGCTGGTAATTGAATTGAATACTCCCTGGTTCGTCCGCCTCGGCTTGCTGTAAGAATGAATTTAGCAACCCAACTTTCAAGTAAGGCGATGCACGGACCCTCATCTGCGGCTCAATAAAGTACTCGCTACACCAATCAAAAAACGTGCTCTTCAGCGGTAAAACATCAGCCATGCCGACGCCGGTGCCCAGGCCAAGGATGATGCTGTTGTTGGAGTCCATCGACGAGAGACTGCTGCTTGGGCTCGGCGCCGAACCCCCGTGGTGGTGGCCACGGCGGGGAGCCGAACCGGAGCGCCGACGCGCGCGCAAGCGCTCCATGTCTTCTTCGATCAGCGCCTCGATGACGTTCCACGCCATGAAGTCGGCCGGAGCCTGAGGTGGAGCATCGAAAGAGGAACGCGGGGAGGGTGGGGCGCTGCGTGAGTATTGCGCAAACGGCTCCGAGTACGGCGACGCGTATTTGGCCAAGTTAAGATTCGGGGAAGGGGGGCGAGAGCTGTGGGCGTCCGGTCGGGCGAGGACTTCGGAGGGTGGTGCATGGGGCTCCTCTGCCGAAGGAAAGGCGATACCGTTGGCCAATGACTTGAGAGCGTTGGCGAAAGACGAGGTCCGCCGAATTGTGTTGGTGACACCATTCGATATAGTACTGGTCATAGTATCTGTACGCGAGAGTCCGGGTCGTATGCCAGGGGACGGCGGCGGGACAAATGATGGGGAAGCCGATATGGTTGAGGCTTGCGATCCTACTCGGGTACGAGCGGTCGGCTGATCGGGCGTCAGTGGAGCAACGTGCAGAGAACATCCCTCTAAACGCGTAAATGGAGACTCCAGCAGCAACGCCATGATGTAGTCTAAAACCGTTTGGGCGTTGGTCGCGACTTCATGATAGGGGTCCACCGAAAGGTCCAAGAGGGCAACAAACATGGTGAAGAACGAGGATAAATAGACCCTCTGTTCCGCCTGCTCGTGCTCTTCGAATCTCTCCAACCAGTCTGCGACAGCCTGGGAGGTCATATGGATGCCATCGTCGTCGACCGGGTGGTGCCCGCTTTGCGCCTTCCACGTACGATCCTCCTCCCAGTACAGCCACGCGCAAACAACGAAAAAGCCGCGATACTCCTTTACGAGACAGCTGAGAAGAACGATGAGCTCCTTCCGACACATCGGGCTCGCGTCGTCCTTCATGGCAAGGGTCGCGCCAGTGACCACTGCCACCTCCATCTTGAAGTGGATCACCTTGGACTCAAAGTGCGGCATCGTTCCGCTCCCACCACCGCCTCGCTTCCGCGGATTCGAAGATCCGCTTGCGCCCATGAACGTCCCAAGGGCGTACAGAGCTGCACAGCGCACCTCGACGGAGTCGTCCGAAAGAAGTTGTATCAGTTTATCCTGTGTCCCTCGATCCACTCCATGCACCTTGTTCTCGTCGTGCCCATCCCAGATCTGTGCAATGCACAACGCGCTCCACTGCCGCAGCAGGAAATCAGGTTCGTCGAGTTTGTCGTAGCAGTAGTCAAAGACCCGCGCGTGGACGCATGCATCTTGACCCGGGCCATAATCACGCGAAGCCGCTGCTAGGATAAACGAGCACATCGCCTTGTGCTCCGATGAGTTGGGAAGCGCCGGCTCGTCCCGCGCGCCGAGTATGGCTGCAAAGTATTTGTACCCATTCGTGTTGACGAGGTCCACCTGCACCGACGGGTCAACAGCCATAATTCGAGCCCAGATGAAGATGAGGACAGGACGGAGATCTGGGCCTGCGGCTTGGAGGAGTTTGCTTATGTACGGGAAGATCCCAATGGTCAATACAAGATGGACGGCCCATGGTCCCAGATCGACGAACTGCGAGAGAAGGATAAGGGCTCGGAGTCGATGGGGCTGGCACAGGAGAACCTGGAGGATAATGGGGAGTTGATCTGGAGGTTTGCGAGGTACGAGATGCGAGTCCTTCACGGGCTCCGTTTCTGATAATGCGTTCAGGCTCTCGCCAGACCCATACCGGTCTCCGAGCGGAGGAAGCGACAACGGGCCGCGTTTAGTGAGAGCGGCTCCCCCACGCGATATCCAAACCTCGAAGGCGGTGAGCTGGTCGGCGAAGAAGCGGCTGGGGATGTAGTTGTAGCCTTTGTCTCCGGGCTGTTTATCGGGCTGGTTCTGGCCAATACGTCCTGGACGAGATGCGAGGATAACAGGGGAGTCGACGACGACCGCCTTGCCATCAGAAGCCTTGAATAGGAGTTCAGGAAGCTGTCGCAGGCAGGCATCAACAGCGAGGTCCCAAGTCGCCCATAATGGATGGGTGTTCGTCGGGGGAAGTGGGGGGTAGGTGTGCGGGGTGCAGTGATAGTTCTTCATGATGCGCTCGGCGAGAAGGAAATTTCGGAAAAGCGAGGCTATCAAGAGGTCACATCGGTATAATCGAGTGAAAACATCCCGTGAAAAGGTTGTCCACGCTATCGTGTCGGTGACGGCGGTGAAGATCCAGTTCAACTCCCCGAGTGGAGTTTTACGGTCTTTGAGATCGCCAGGGAGTTGCATAATCATGTCGGCGGTGATGTTGTTAGGGAGCTGGTGGTGCATTATGAAATATCGTAGGGCGATGTCGATGGGGGAGGTAAGACAAGATGTGAAAAGGTCGGCAGGCAGTTCGGGGCACGACGGGAGCTGCTCGTTTGCAGCACATGCTGCTAGTTGAAGCGACTGCATGAACGGCTGCGTTCCGTCCACCGGACCTCCATGTAATAATCTCGACTCATGATCGCGTCGTTCAGCGAAAATGGTGAAGTTACTCAGCAGATGCCCAGCTGCGGAACAGTCCCAAATGTAAATGCCCGGAGAACCAAGCCAAGTCTGCACCTCCTGCAGGGACACGGGGATATACTGCGTGTAAGTGCGATTGAAACACCACAGTTCTCCGCTGGCTGTGGGCTTGGGGACCCCATGCCCGTTATAATGAAACAGGACAGCATCTTCCTTCGCCTGTTTGCGTAAGGAAACGCAGGAACGCCAGAGATCATCATAGGACGGATCTTGAACGGCCTTGTACATGATCTTGAGACTCAGTCCTCGAATTGAAGCTTGAGGTTAGCCGCTATGGCTTCCATGGCC